GAGTGGTGCAATGAGCATTCAGTTTTACATATGTGAAAGCTTAGGCGCCTACTCATTTGGTACATGTGCAAGAGTTCTTATGTAAAATTGCCTGTATGCATGTATGTATGTGTATAAAAATCGCATTAGATAAAGATTTGGAGAAGTTATTCCTCTTGCTCTCTCAAATTGCTTTTTCATAGTATTCGACTTCATCAAATTTTTGAAATTTTTTTATTGCCAACATTTTGCTCTCTTCATTGCTTTACCCAACCCTTCCTAAACATATATTGAGTAATAATTGTCTAATCTACTGCCAGTATTGCCGCTTGACGTTACTTTGAGTGACCATCCATTAGATTCTGCCAACCTTTCTCGTGGGCCTTCGAATTTTCTTATTAAAATTCTAAAGCTCGAGGCGCTGGCTAAGCAAATACAGAGCAAATTTGATTTTCTTGTATTCTTTTGTGGTCATCTTCTGCTTCGTCGCAAGTTTTCGAGAGGGCAGCTCTACTTTTGGTTTTTGTAGCAGTAACTTTGGAAAATGATGTTGTTGTAATACATAACTGTATATGCATATGAAATATTTCGTGTTTAATTCCTCATTTATTGTCTACTAACCAAACACATTTAAGTTGTTCGAATCCTCTCGACCATATAAAACGAATATAGGTTATTTTGGCTAGCAGCAATCCCAATTTATGTATTTCTTCTTAGCATTTTCCATGCAAGCGCCAGATTTACATATTTTCTTACAAACATATGCGTTTTTATTTTGCTTGGACTCACAGACATTTTTGAAACATTTTTATAGTCTCGCAACTTGTTGCTACAGAGTATAATAGTTTTGTTCACCTAACGGTTGTTTATATCACCTAAAACTAAACGAGTAAGATATAGGGTTATATGTATATATATATAATTATCAGGATGAAGACACGACTTGAAGTCCGAGTGACTGTATGTCCGTCCGTCCGTCTGTCCGTCTGTGCAAGCTGTAACTTGAGTAAAAATTGAGATATCTTTATGAAACTTGGTACACATGTTTCTTGGTACCGTAAGACGGTTGGTATTGCAGATGGACCCACAAAACGCCATTAATCAAAAACAAATAAATTGCCATAACTAAGCTATACAATGAGATACAAGATTCTTATTTGGTATACAGGATCACATTAGGCGTGTGGGGGTCGGCACTTGCAGTTGAAACAAATTTTTTAACTGGGCGTGGTCCCGCCGGGTCACAACCCCGCCCACTCTCCATACAACGGTTCTGTTAACTGTTAAAATCTACTAAAAGCGCGATATATCAAGCACTAAACAAGCCATTGAGACATTGAATTTTATCTCTGGGATGGTATAGGATGATTTTATAGGAACCACGTTCAAAATTAAATAGTGGACGTGGCACCGCCCACTTTTAGGTGAGAACTCATATCTTGGGATCCGCTTAACCGATTTCAACCAAATTCGGAACATAATATTCAAATTCGGCGAAATCAGATTACAACCACGCCTATTTCCCATATAACATCATTTTAAATTCCATTTGATTTTTTCACTTTCCAGTATGCAAATCAAGCAACAATGATTGTATCGGGGTAAAACTTTGCGTGAATAATACGTTTAAAGTATGCCACCTTGTGACCAAAAATTGTATAAATCGAACCAAACAAGCCACTAGTTACTGAATATGTAGACCCCAGTGCTTATAGTTGACTTTTTACATAAAATATCGGTCAACATAGAACAAGGCGGCAAGATCCACAAAGAAATCTAAAACGAGTATACCATTTGACTTTGCGAGAGTATAAAATATTCGGTTACATCCGAACTTAGCTCTTCCTTACTTGTTTTTTTCTGTTTTTCGATAACATTATTTGCAAGGCATATTAAATGAATGCAACAAAAGAAACAACTACACAAAACCTCACAATCAATGATTACAAGAGCTGTGTATATATCTGTGCACACACAAGTATGTTGTATATGTACATATAAATATATTCTATAGGTATTAGTCAGAAATGCAAATATTGATTCTTCTACAGCAATAACAACAATAACAAGAAATTACAGAAGCAAGCCGGTCTTGTTGACAATTTCATAAAATTTATCATTTCATTTATTTTCCTAGCCTATCTGACTTACTGAATCGAAGACAAGGCAATCGATAGGGCAAACAAACAAATAAATGGAGATTATTTCAGTTGGATTTAAATTTTTGCCAACATTTTGGTTATCATCTCTATATACATATTTAAAAAATAGAAAACTTGTCTTTATGTATAAAATATTTATTTTATTATATCAAAAATATTGGAACAAATTTGTATAAACGACTAGACCCGGTATTTCATCCGGCGATCGACTGTCAAATCATTGTACATTCCTTGTAAAAAAGTGTATATTTAAATAATTTACAGTGGCTCAAATTCTTCGATTCTTTGCTGTATTAGTTGATAAGAAGAACTTATTTTTGGACTCAGAAGTAAATTGTCCAGCTAATTACAACAGGTCTCATATTTTGTTTTTCTAGTCTAAAAATAATGTATTTAAATTGACTTCCGCGTGACAAAATAGAATATTAGTTTCTGTTTGATATTTTAGAGGCTTTAGGTTATGGTATGAGGCTGATCTCCGCGGTTTTCGTCATGATGATCAGCTTAACAATATACTCGTACTCTGAACTTCCTTCAAGTCATATTAAAGCTATTATCATTTGCGGGATTTTTAGCAGCTTTAGCAAAATTTCTGAAAAAAAAATACTTACATTGATGAATAACCATTTTTTATTTACTATTTTTTTGAGTTTTTCTTTAATTTTATTGTTTGTTCATCTAAATTTTTTGTTCTGAATTTTTAATTACAACCAGATATAGATTTTTTGATAATTTTAATTTGAGTTAAAGTAAACGTAAAATATTCGCTTCACCAAACATTATTTGCAAGAGTCAAAGCACCCATGCGGAGGCTCTTCAAATTTGGTAATATCAAGTCAATTGCGCCTGAAAACATTCGACGAACGAATGCACAGAATGTTATAGAATAATGTGCATAACTTTTGAATAATGTAAATAAGGACAAATCAGTAAAGGCACAACAATATGAGCACAATTTGCGAAACAAAAGCGAACGCAGGCAAAACCATTAAATGTGAATTTCTATATTCTACACACACACATGCACATGTAGGTACACAATTTTATCATCGCCTAGCAAGCGTTATGTGAAAATATTTGATTATGTGCGTCTGAATTGATCATCAATTCTTTGCTGCTCCTTTGATTCTTGATTTATATATATGCGCATAACAATATGAATGGACATGTATATGTTGCCGTATACACAGATGACTATACAACACAAAGTTGTCAGTCAGTCGACAACTCTCTAACAAAATACGCAGAAATTCGTAGCGTACTTCTGTGCGCAAATCATAGCTATCAGACTAAAATCGATGTGGCAGCGGCAGGCTGCTACTGCCTACAACTACATACACAGCAGCACAGCAACACTCGTAGTTTGATTGAATTGAAAGTTTCAGCTTCAGCGATTGTTTCGATTGAGTACGTTCTCATCTTTGCACATCAGTTATGCCATATAACGATGGGAGTGTCCAGGTAGCAGATTATACATCATAGCAAAATATTCAAATATTAAATAGTTTTCGAAACTTTGTTGGAAAGATCAATAATTTTATCTAATTAAGTTCAAAGCTATACTTTACTATGAATCCGGGGCATAAAAGCTTATAACGTTATATTTTATATAGAATTTGTTTGGATTATACTCATAAAACATTTATTAAGCCGTTAATCATGACGACAGTGCTAGCGTTATAATTGGGGCTACTAATCTTCTTCCATAATCTGTCTTCTGTGCTTGAATGGCTTGTGGGCTAAAAGCTTCCCAACCGAGAGAAACCGTTTCCAGTTAGTTGAAACACTTAGGAATCTCTATAAATTTTTTGTTTTCAACCAAAATCTTTTTTTTGTCTTTTCTCATCTTATCAATAAATAAATAAAAAAATTTAAATTATAAAATTAACCGCATTCTGCCTAAGTTTTTACGAATCTCCCCATCAAATACCAACGTTGGTTATCGACAAAAGAACGATGAGATGACTGGTCCTAGTCCCTAATCTCTAATAATAATTAAACAGAGAGGTAAAAGAGAAACATAGTGTTCTTGTGCAAAGCTGCAAAACATGCATATCGGTGCAGTGCTGTGCTCTAACTGCCTAGGGAATACTTAATACTGAATTTTCTTTTAGGATAAGTAGAAAATTGTTTAAATCTATCTTCAGTTGAATTACTGACAAAACATTGGACAGCAAGTCTTGCAATGTCTTTATTCTCTAAATTCCATATAAGAAAAGCAAGAAATTGAGATCCAACTATTTGCTATTCTTATGCAAATCTAATATCCAAAGACGTATATAGATTTTAACCCCATTTCCCTCATCTACCTTCTAGATAAGGACACTGCTGAATTATTTTATTATGATAATAATATTTATCAGGTACGGTTCATAAGATTATAGAATTTGTTTAAATGTGGGCGAAATGTAACGAAACTTATGGGTTAAAATTGATAATGTTTCTTCAAAAGATTCTTCAAATTTTTTAATTTTCTGGATTCACAAAGGACGTGTGGTTAGATGTCCAAATGTATTTCCCATATCATATAGGTCAATACTGTTGTCTGTGAAGATTATTAGTTAAATTTTAAAAGGTAAAATTGTTCCAAAAATTTTTTTAAAATAATAAATGATTGAAAAATATTGGTTTCTAACTTAAAATATTCTAATGTTTGCTAAAAACGTATGGGGATTCAACAATAGTTGACTTTTGCAGAAAAAAACTCTGAAAAATTAAAAATAAATTTTTCTTTTTGTCATATATTCTGGCTTTGAGACATTTTTTATTGTCATTATATAGATTTGCTAATTTTAACTCACAATTTTAAGATTTACTGAAATTCATAACTAATAAATTAATTTTTATTCTTCTTTCCAGGCATAAACCAAAACCAAGAGTTTGCGTTAAAATACAAGAAATTTCATCAAAATTCACATATTTCTAAACTCATTATCAGAAAATATATATGTAGTGATATATATATATGTATTAAAAAAATTTAATTATTTATTAAAATTTTTGAAAATCAAGAAATCTGTATTCCGTGCGTGAGATATTCGATCTTATAGAGGAAAAATAAATTAAACGCAACTACAGCAAACTCTTTGAAAAGCAGATGCAGTGAATTATTAAAACGTCAGCCAAACTGTCATATGTGTATTGCGTAAACACATAAATATAAAAACACATATTTGTATAGAAAACACTATTCTGACAGAGACTGAGAATTGAGAACAAAAAATTTCAAAACTTCACAGAGCACAATCAAAACGGTTCGAAACAAGCACAGCATGGAAATAAAAACCAATAGACCGACGAACATATACACATAAAAACAAACAAAACTCCAAATAATATACTTGCGACCAACCGCCGGCGGCGGAACAGTAGAATCGACCCTGAAAGAGTAAAAGGAGCACCAGACGACAACACCGACGACGACAAAGTCAATGACGTAGACGAAGACGAATGTATAAATACAGCAACAAATCTTTGCATAAAACGAGCAATGTCAATGCGAGTTCTTAAACAACAACAACAAATGAAAACATACGAGCTGAAAGTGAGCGAGCGCAGAAACAACCTGAGATATAAGAAAAATTGTATGTAAACGTTGTTAAAAACAAATTTATAGCTTATCGAATATCAAAACGGCAACAAGAACCTTGGTTGCAAAATTGAAGCATTTTCAAAGCTATTGAAATTCAACATTATCAAACTATTTTAATATTCAACCAATCTAGTCGTTTAAAACAACAAAATTTACCTACATAATATAACAACAAGTTGATGCAACATTTGCTTGCAACATGTTGCTAGCCATACGAAGAGCACCACCCACAATGGTGGTCCAAAATGCCCACCACAACATAGTTATCGGCATGCTGTTGGCAGTGTTACTAACATTGGTGTGCAGCTCACCCGCGCAAGCAGCGATAGGTAAGTGACGAAATTTTTACTTTGCAATATTGATTTAAAGATTTCAAACTTGGTAACCACTTCCATAATAGGTAAAAGAAATCAGCGTACAAAAGAAACAGTTAGAATGTTTTGATTACGATTTAATAAATCAGTTTATTTCTGTGCATCTTAAAATAATTTTTGAATTATGTCACGATTCTTGTGAACAAGATACGAAAGGAAAGAGCAAAGCTCACGAAGAAATAATTATTACGGCAGCTTAGTCCACGATATCGTAATTGAACCGTGGAACGTTTAAAAACTGTTATTTTCACCATTTTACCAACAACTTTTTGCAAATTATAACTTTTTAGGGAATTTGATGCCTTTATCCATTATATTTTTGGGGTGCGTTTAACATCAGAATTCTATATATAAGTATGACGTCATGAGCTAAGGTTTCTAATTATAATGTCAGTTTGTCAGTTAATTTTGTTCAAAATTTTGATATTTCACTTCGTTTATGACGTAGCTCGGTGGAATATTTTACTTATCATTCTTGGCATTCTGTGCATTGGATAAAGACATTACTTTCATAATCGTGGCTTATACGATATGCGGGTGTGTTTTCCCTCTTTCTATGCGGGTACAAAAAAGAAAATTTAATTTGTTTAAGGAATGTTTTCTTCTTTTTCACTCATAGAGTTGACTACTCCCCTACTTGCTATAGAATATTTTGAGTGGTAGTTATCCAATCAGCTGTTAAAATGTGGTACTTACTCGTAAACGCATATACTTTGGAGCGCAAGCTAGAGTACTCAGATTTATTGGTCTTCAAAATATTTTCCCAAAAGCCAAATTTGTGTGAAGAGCACACGAGGGTTCGACCTGACTTTACTCGTCAAAAAACAATACTTTTTCCCTCCGCCGTTTAGAAAGCTTAATTTCAGATATTTCAAGTATACACAACAATGACAAACATATATTTCCATTGTCGCTTTCTGATTTCCATATGGAGGTGGATATTTACTTTAAAAATGTATTGCACAAAACGCAAAAAGTTAAGGAATTTATTTATTTCAAAACAAATTATATTTTCACTCTGCAACTGTTCAGCTGGAAGTTGTATACTATCCTTTGGATGAAGTAATCAGATCAGCGCACTCTTCACCAATATTATCGTTTACAAAAGAATTCATGAAAAAATTCGGTCAGCTAATGAGCTCAGCAACAAGAAATTTAAAATTGTAGAAAACATGTAACAGAGTCACTGTCAGCGGCTGCTTGCTCCGCCTTACTCGTATTAGACCATAAACATACTTTTGTAACATATATGTATGTAGTTGTAGATATTTTTAGAATTATTAGGTCATAAAATTTCGCAGAATTATTCATGACTGGTGCGCTAAGAAACTGCATACTTTGTCATAAAAATATCAATGCACACACGCAGCTACCGAGTGCAGAAGTATATTGACACCATGCATACAGTTAGTTGCAAACATAAATACGCAACTCAAGAGATTTTTGTAAAATATTTTAAAAGCAGTATCTCATGTTTAAGTATATAGTATTTATTCTCAGCTAAATTAGTTTTCACTTTTATGTTCTTATGTCAATTAGAACACATGTTTCTGGCATTCTTTAGCATGGGAGAGGCGGGGTTAAAATGCCAAAGAGTAAATAAAGAACCCAGAAAAAAATTCGACAAGTGCGTGACTAGTTGGCGATTAGTTGCAAGAAAACACTCGATAATTTTGATATTTCTCTTTGGAAGAAACTGATCGAGCATATCCTGTGAAAAGACTAATTGTACTTTTTGGAAAAAGACTACCGACGACCGAAAGACTACTAATCATTTTCAAATTTTGAAATACTAGTACGCTTTTCTAGTTCTATTTATTCTAGCATTAGACAGCTCCAATATATTCGCATGTCTTAAAGATGTTCGCTCCGACGTAATTAATAATTAAATGTACTGTAACTGTATGAGTTGTAAAATTCGTTCACTCCCAATTCCTATAGAGAATAATGCGAAAGTACTCTCTTTAAAGATCGCTCGCACAATATTTGGCAGGGTTGCATTTGGATGTGTGTTTTTATACATTTGATCACTCATATCGCTGCGTATTTTTCTACCCTAAATCAGATGATGCATTTCACTAGCGCGTCGTCTTAAGCATATTGGCAAAAAGTGAAAACGTGAAATGAGCATTGCTAATAAAGAAATGAAAAATGGACAAATTGCAAACGAGTGGGAGAAATACATAAGTATTCTCTGCGCTTGCTATAAATACACTGATTTGAAAGCTTTGCTCACTAATGCATTGGAACAATGTGCTATATTGCAAGTGTTTACCATAAATTGATTTGTGAATTCCATATCTCCGAGTTGGCAAACGCGAGGCAAAGAAAAGTATTTTATGACAGAAATTTGCGAAGTACTTGGCGCCATCACAAACGATGAGGGCACATTTTTATGATCAATGGCAGTGAAGATATGAAAGGCAAAAAAAAAAGAGCAATTACAATTACAGCTTTTGAGCGAGGATATAAAATATGCTTAGTCCTCTGAAGCTTTGGAAATCGGTGATGGAAGCTCAATATATCAAGTTGGCTTCGATTTTGTATATACAGAGAGAAGAAATCAAATCTAAGCATATTTGAAGGTTCTGACATTCATGAAGGATTACAGCTATCAAGCTAAGACTCTTAAAAACCGAGCACTAAAATAACTTATAAAGTTTACTTTATCAAAAAGCTCTGTTGAATAATAATTTTATCACACTCTCGCAACATGCTGCTACAGAGTAAAATATTTTTCTACACTTTACGGTTATTTGTATCACCTAAAACTAATCGAGATTGATACAGAGCTCTAAACGTATATATAAATGGAAAGTGACGAGTCTATTGGAAGTTTAGGTGATTGTCTGTCCGTCCGTCCGTGCAAGCGATAACTTGGGTGAAAATTTAGATATCGTGCTTAAACTTGGTACATGTGCTCCTTAGCACCCAAGAGAGATTAGTATTGCAGATTACAACGAAACGCATTAGGGAGGAGCATCTGTGGTTTTAGAAATTTGATAAAGGAATAGAACCACTACCACGCCTACTTCCCATATAACACAATTTTAAAATCCATATAATTTTTTTACTTTACAGTGTAAAAATCAAGCACCACTGAGTATATTGGGATAAAACTATGCCTTTGAGGTATACCATCTCAAATCCAAAAACTGTCAAAATCAGACTATAATTTTAAAGTCCTCCGAAAATGTGGACATCAGTGCCTAAGGCTGACTTTTCAGCAATGACCAATATTATATAAATAATATAATTGAAATTCGGAGAGAATGCTTTCCTGATAATAGTATGTCTGTATGTCAAAAATCGGTTGAATCGAGTCAATACTTCCCTTAGCTTCCGTATTACTAATAGAAAGATTTTCAAAATACCAGTTGATTGTATACCGCTAATATCGGCCAATATGTTAGTTATCATAATAAAATTGAGTGAGCCTGTAATTCTAATAACAGTGTATCTTTATGCCTAACCTGGATAAAATTGGGTCAATACTTCCCCTAGACCTCATATACCTTTGATAAAAAATGTCGAACCTTCGTTCATTCGACTTCATACCGTGTGTACCTGCTAATATGCGATATATCTCAAAGACATTTAAATATCATCTCTCTCTAATAACAGCGTCTTCTTATGCCTAAAATGGATGAAATCGGGTCAATACTACCCATATACCCAAGATAAGGATGTAAACTTCCGGTTGTCTGTATACCGTACATATCGGTCAATTTTTAAGATATCTTAGTAAAATTAAGTGAACAGATAGCATTGGATATAGTAAGTTTTGATGCAGAAAAGGGGTTAAAATGGTCAATAACTACATAAAATGATTTTTGTCAGTTAAGCAACTTTGATTATTGGGAGGGAGGACCTATTTCCTCACTTATTATTAAATCTGGCTACGAAAAACCAATTCAAAATTAATCACGTACATTGTACTTATGCTCAAAAATTCAAACCTTCAACCGTCTCAACCCCTCTTTCTCATGTGGAATATTGCAGCGTAAGAGCCTTTAGAACGCATAAGATTCTAAAAATCACTAGAAATTCACAAATATACGCTCCAAAATACCGGTGATTAAAGTGAAAAAGAACGAAAAAACAATATCTTCTTTTTTATAATTGCCAGTCAAAAAAAAACCGGCATTAGTGCCCCACAAAAATAAAGCTAGAAAATTGCTAAAGGAAGCAGCTCAAAAAGTGTTCTTCAAGCTCGTAATTTCTGGCATTTATTTTTCTGGTGGAAACCTTCTGTTGTTGCAGTAAAGACCTTTTTGTATTGCTGACTTTTTTCATCAACCAAAGCTTTTCAGCTTGTCGCCTAACCGGCTGTCATGCAGTTTTTCTACACTTGTAGCTGCAAATGTGCAGCAGCTTTTTTGTTTTTCTCGTTCATTAGCATTTTTACATGCCGCCTTTTATGCGACGTTCACATACACTACCTTAGCGCATGCAAGGTTTTGCTGCCCAGCATTGTATGCCATTTGTAGTTGCTGTTATGTGCTTGTTAGCCATACTCTTTAATACCTTTTTTTAATTTTTTGCGGACTTCTGTTGTTGTCTTAATTTGGCTTGTCTAACAACAGCCATAGTTGCCAGCGCCGCCCTGACGACAACACCAAGGCGTAGAAAAAATCGCTGCACCGCTTTTCCAGCCTGCACTCTTAGTATATGTGTATACTTTGGACATGCACCTCGTCACTTACAACTTTCGCTTCTTCTCGTTTTTGTTGAACTGAACTTTGTCAGCATTTGCAGTGGTTTTTTTTCTACAAACTTTTTTGCTCTGTGTAACACACATATAAAAACCTTAAAAGATGTGTGTGTGTGTAGGTTTATACACATAGTTGGCTTTAGTTTCGTTGTTCGCGAGCAGATTTTCCTTTGTTGTCGTGTTATTTTGTGGTCAGTCTATTTTTCTGCGTTTTCACTCTGTGTCTGTCATTGTCAACTTC